AAAGTTGTGAACTTTCGCGAATTTGTCTTTATAGTACGACGGAAGTGTTTCGTAAGAAACAATATAAACAAAGTCAAAAATATATTTTCGAAACAACGTAATGCCACATAGAAAGAAATTTTCGTACAGCCGATTCAATCGATAAAAGCGATTTATTGCAGCATGTATCATGAAATATATAAGATTAATAGTAAGATGTTATAGAAATTGTTTTTTTTTTCCTTCCACAGTAAAAATTCTTTTATTATTATGCTACCTTTTCGAGTTAAAACATCAAGTTTACTCATATACTGCACTAATTCAACGATATTTCAGTGATGATTATTTAATTAATGACTGAAATACAACAAAAAACGTAGAAATATTTCACACTAAATAACTGCCAATTCAAAACAATACATTAAAGAAACAGTTTATTACACATTTCCCACAAGTTAAATGTGTTCTATAACAATTCTCAAATCGAGCGATAAAAATATTTAACATTCTGTAAATTGCAATAAACCAACAGCACAACAACACTTATAATAAGTTAAAACCATTATTCCACTTAAAAATAACCTTTTATTCCAGAAAAATCCCTTTTTTTCCAATACTTATGAAAAATTATAAATGCTAGTAAATTGTAAAATGACAAAATTGTAATTCTCGTAATAACAGAACAACTAAAAAGCATCCACAGTAATTAAATTCAATATGTACTTGATACTCTGATGTGACAGAAATTTGTACAAGTAATTTCTCAACGATAAATATGAAAAACTTACGAAATGATCAACTCGGTGTTTCCCCCGCTGAATAACCAGCAAGAAATCGCGATATGCAGAAATAAACAATAAAATAAGTAAAAAAAAAACTCTCGTCACATTAAAAGTAAATAAGATTAAATAAATATAGAAATCAATAATGATAATACAGTTAACAAAAAGATTCTAAAGCAATGGAAAACCTTTAACTACGCATTACGAAAAAACATGTCGAATGACATCACTCTTTATGTCACTCCACATCTGATATTAGCAGTAAAAGAATCGTAAAAAATTCGTTCACGCAGCTGGCTCAACGTGCTTACAAATTAACCCTGTTTATACCTTCTATACAAAATAAGAAAATTTGCATAAGGTTCAGCAGCTTTATTGTCTATGTCTACGGACCTATATGACTTTCTTTAAATTGCATGCGGCAGGCGACTGAACTCTACATGACCACACAGACAAGTACAATTGATCGCCTGTCAAAATCTTCATCTTTCACCCATACTTTAATAACACCAGCGTCATTTCTCTAAAGGGGTGTTCTCACTTTTCGGTACTAATCAACTTTCCTACTCGAAACAAATTACTGCAAATTTCCAAACATTCAGTTTAACAAGCATTTTGCAAGCGAAATTCTATAAAACTTTTCATAACTTGCACGCAATTACTTTTTATAAAAGAATAATTAACATATAAGTTTATAATAATGAACTCCCTCTAGAGGCGTGTAACGTTACTAATATTTTGTCAATCTGTGATGCAATTAACAGGCTATGGGTTTTATAATAAATCACGTTTCCTTAAAAACCTGTCTTTTCTTTTATATTAATTTTAGAAATATTTGTTAAGCATTTCAGAAAAGTAAATTAATTTGCTTGTTTTCTTCACTTCTTTTAAACCAACCGAAGGAAACATACTACTACATAAGCAATATGGAAGCGATACAGCGTACTATGCCCTCCTTCCAAATTATCAAGTCAAACGTGACAGAAATTACAATAAAGATTGTTCAAATATTCGGAATTATTGTGGAATTATATAGAGAATAACACAAATAACTACAAATATATGCGCTTCATATATGCGAATAATAGTTTTCACATTATTTCTGAAACGTATTTTGACTGTCTTTGTACTAATTAAATATTTTGATTCGCAAAGAACAATTAAAAATCGAATTGCCGTTAATCGTTTTTCTTGCAATTTTCTCATGAAAAAATTCTAACTTTTCAGAAATTCTAATAGTTAAATATCGCACTGCTTTTTATTCAAATTATAATTCTGAATACAAGAAATTGACTTGTAAAAGTCACAAATTATACATGTAAAGCTTTGATTATTTGAACAGGTATTTTCAGTATTAAAAAAACACAAAATAATATACCTCCTTAAATTAAGACGACAGGACTAAAAAAATTTGCATTATAGACTCCTGATAACCCAGAATTTTCACAAACTCGGTTTTCCTTCCGTCCACATTAGGCAGAGTTTTCAGGACTCTACTGTACTAGTATTACTTCAATCATACAAATAAATTAAGTAGTAGCATTCTTGATTAAAATTTAAATCTAGAGAAATAATAATACTAATTGCATACTGACACAAAAACATTAATGATATTTACTAACATATTTTATTCGATTTAAATATTGTTTAAACTACACCAAAAACTCCTTTTACTATGTATTTTTACTTGATTTTAATTGAAAAATTTCAAAAACACATTTTTGGACTTTATTCACATGTTTAAACAATTAAATCACTGATATTTTGTGAATTACATTTAAAATGTTTTCATATTGTTTTTCAATATTATTTGAAAAGTCACTAAAAAACAGATGTTAGCTGACAACAGTTGATGACATTCGCTAACATTTTACACTCTCTAGCAGAATATTCGACAGAAGATTACAATCATTAACATACTTCATTTAGATCACTACATTACATCACTTCATCACTCTAAATTGAAAAATAATCTAAATTATTATTTTAATAATTCATTTACTCAAAGTTCGAAATTATTAATTATATAAAAACAAATTACTTCTAACTTGTGTACATTTACATCTCATATTCAGAAATCTATCTACGTGCAGTTATGAGACTGACACATCAATATCCTAATAGTAGACAAATAAACATGCTCATCTGTTTACAGCTAGAATATTTCACAGGCCTTAGTACAGAACAATGTCAGTGAATTAATATTCAATAATGTTATCAGATTGAAATAAAATGTATCTGTTTTGGGTAGTGTTCAAATAAAAATCACTTATGTGTAAATTATATTATTTTACTTACATTCTTTGTTAGACTAAAAACATCATCTACATACCACCATTGTTATAGAAACTTATTACCAATAAATTCCCATTCACAATTATTTTTATTATAACATTAAAAATACATATATACCTATGGATACTTTCCATAAATATTTCTGCTGTTTAATGCTGTTAATGACAACCGTTATATAAAAATGGCATTATTCCAGTATAATATCCTTTTAAAAAAAAAAACGTTCCAAAACGCCTGTATCGTTAATTCAAGTTTAAAGTTCAGAGTTCGATTTTTTATGTTTTTTCTTGATAAACGTCATTGAATATGACCGAAAACGTTAGAATTTAATAAATATGGCTGCATATTTAAAGGTTTTCTTGAGTGTGTTTAGTTAATGCTGTTAAATAAATGTTGAAAATGTGTCATGTTATTTTAGAACCATGAAGCATGTTCCCTATCTCATATGACACCACTGCTTTATATCAAATATAAAAACATAATATTAAAATTATTCTCATACAGATTTTTGTTTTTATTAAGATGACAAAACCAATAAATTATTCAATCAGTCATAAGATAAGTTTGCAGAGAAAGTGCAAAAATATTATGTAATTTTGATCTGGTGGCTCTACCGTTTCAATGAAAAGACTTCTGAAATGTTAACATAAAAAGTTTAATGAACAAATTTAAATAAATTTCTCAAAAAACAGAAATACTTTTATAATGAATAGAATTACTCATCATTATAGAATTAACATGACAATACAAAATATTTCCTTCAATTCTTTTTCAAACTGTTAAAAACTGATTTCATGAACACTATTTTCAATATATTCAAAATCTAATTCATGTAATTTAAATAGGCATTTTAATGAAAAAATTAACATTCTAATTTTATACAAATATATAGGCTACACCAAACAGTGAAGTAGTAATAATGAAAACTTTCATAATTTTTCAGAAAAAACAAATCTATGATGATTAGCAGAAGAAAAACAGCTTATGTGAGTCTGAATGGTAGAGACAAGTGCAATATTAAAATCCAAAATGCAACGCTTCCTGTGGTTAAAAGGTTTAAGTATCTAGAGGCCTTTGTCAAAATGGAGGAAGGTTTGAACTCAAAAGTGCAACATAGAATACAATGTAAATGGCTGAACTGGAGGATATTGAGCAGTGTGTTATGTGACAAGAATGTTAGCAGTAAACTGAAAAATAAATTACACGAATCAGTTGTTATACCTGCAACGTTGTATGAGGCTAAAACATGGGCAATCACAAGAACCCAAGAAAAAAAGATGGAGGTGGCAAAGAGGCAGAAATAAAAATTTTGAAATGGATGTGTGGAGTATCAAGGAAATATAGAATATGGAACAAGTTTATTATAGGTTCTATTGAAGTGGGACTCTTGAGCAGGAAGATGCAAGAATGCAAGTTGAAGTGGTTTGGCCATGTAGTGCAAAATGATGAACATTATGTTGGTAAGAAGGTAAAAAAACTAATAGTGAAAGAAAGGAGGAAAAGAGGAAGACCAATGCTGCAGTGAAAAGATAAAGTGGAGGAAGTCTAGAAACAGATTAGACTTAAGAGAGAAGAGGCCCTTCATAGGAAAAAATGAATGAAACATATTACAGAAAAAAATGCTGACCCTATATAAACATAGGAAAAGACAAAAATTAAAAAAATAAAATAAAATAAAATAAAAAATAATATTTTAATTGAAATACTTAATGTTTTCATGTAGTGTTTTATTTCAGAGTTCAATATACATAATTACATTCACAGTTCTGTAGTTTGAATTTTTACTTATATCAAAATTGTACCATCTTACTGATATCAATTGTTACATTAAAAATAATGTGTAGAATAGATAGTCTAATAATTATAAACACTTATTTCCACTTATAAATTCTCATTATGAATTATTTAAATTTTTATTATTATAATATAAATATATATAAATACCTGTGGCTGTTTTCCATTCACATTTCTATTTTTAAATGTTATGTAAACAATTACTGAGATGCATTTCACCTGAAATAAAAAATTGATTTAAAATTTTATATAAATTATAACTTCTAAATATATTTAATACTTCTATTTTTTACATTACATTCAACAAATATAGCTGATAAACAATAAAAATATAACCAAAACCTACTTAGGTGAAACACAAACTATAAAATGATTCCAGCACATATTTATTACAAATATTTTTGATCATATTTAATGATCATTCTGAGATAAAAATTAATTAAAAAATAAAAATATATTTTAAAAGTAAGCAAACCAAAAAATCATTAAATTCAGAACATAGCAGAGAACATTAAAATAGTAAAACTAATTGTATTTCTCCTTATTCGGGTTCAAAAATAAGTCAATGCTTTTTCCTGCATTAATCTTAATGTACAGTACTTATCAGAAAATTTCAGTTTATCTGACATGACTGCAATAAAACGATTCAAATTTTTGTCTTTTTCTTTAATTTCATATGTTGTACCCTGTATCCTATATATAAATAAGTTTATTTTATTTTTCTTACATTTATAATAATGATAATAAGTATAATAATAAAATAATAATGTTTGTTTACTTTTCTTGTAATTATTACATCTGTTTAAACATCCTTTGAAAAATTTATAGAAAAAACTTACTACATAACTTTATGAAAATTATATTTGTAAATTTCACATACTAATCAATGAAATTTGTTTCTGTTACTAGATAAAACTGACAAGTTACTAAGCTTATCGATAACCAACAGTACCTGCCAGATAAGGCATGAAATAGAAAAGTGAATTAGAATTAAAATTGGAATTTAACATCATTTTTTAAAAAAAACACTTGTAGCCTGGACTTTGAAAAATATATTGACACTCCTAACACTAACTACTACGAGTAAACTAAATTACAAAATTTATTTATATTCATATATCACATTTAACGCAGTAAATACAATAGAACTCAATTAAAAAATTCATAAGAATTTCATAATCCTGAATCTACAGGTGTATAGGAATGCTTCTGGTAATTCAATAATCCAAAACTATAATTTAATTATGTTTGTTTTGATTTGGTTGATTACATAAATGCATTTTGGGCAAATTTACATTTTATGTCCCCCACATTAGTAACTAAAATTATTAAGAGTTAGGTGTAAGTACAAAATTAAATAAAAATACTGATAATGAAACTGAACATACCAGTAATTCTTCCTTTCTATTGAATCAACCTTCTCCTTAAAACCAAAAGCACACAAATAATGATATAGAACATAAGATGTGTTTCAAATTTATATGGACACCTAAAAATTAAAGTGAAACCCAAATTTGCTGCATTACGTGACAAATGTTTTATTAAAAATAACATGGATTTACATGTTTCCACACTGCAAAATAAGAATTTTAATCAAACATTAACATTTTGTCACTGAATATAATATTTTTGAAAATTTTGTACAAAAAACTGTTACATATTTATCCGGACAAGCACTCATTTCATGACTTAAATATAATATTCTTTAGTTTCAAGCATTGAAATATGCAAATCAGCTTACATATGTAATTGTAATGCAAATTCTTTATGTTGTTCAACGTTCTAAAATGGGTAAAACAAAAAATTTATCTTATTATGAAAAAGAGCAGATTGATGCCTATAAATCACAAGGCAAGTCAATAAGAGAAATTGCAGCATATATAAATCATCCAAAATCAACTGTTGGTGATTATTTATCAAAAAGACGTGGCTAGAATGTATCAAAATTCAAGACAGGTCCAAAACCCGAGCTTATACCTTGAGATTGAAGACAAATCATCAAGGTTTGCTCCACTAAACAAACATCAGAAAAATAAAACAAGAATTACACTTACCTTGTAGTAGCACAACAGTGTAAAGAGTTTTAAATAAATCTCCAACATTAAAATTCAGAAAAAAAGCTATAATGCCACCACTTTCATTAAAGCACTAAAGTGACAGACTTGATTGGGCACAAAAACACATGAAATAGTCCAAAGAATGAATTGAAGTTTTGTTCAGTGATGAAAAACAATTCATCTTAGATAGTCCAGATGGTTGAAAGTATTATTGGCACGATTTAAGAACCGAAAAACAAATATTTTCAGAATGCCAAATGGGTGGGGAATCAATAATAGTGTGGAGTGTGTTTGGATTCAATGAAACCACAGATTTAGCATTTATTGTAAAATATTGCATATTGATCATTTAGCATTTATAACTCAAAGAATGAATTCAGAGAAGTATCAAGGCATGCTTGAAGATAATTTATTAAAAGCTGGACCAAATTAAATCTTTCAATAAGACAATGCCCCTGTGCATGCCTTTAAATCAACAAAAATTTGGTTTAAACGTAAAAATATTAATCTGATGACATGGCCTGCTAGAAGCCATGACCTGAATCCGATGGAAAATCTTTGGGGGATAATGGTTCGTATAGTTTATGCCAATAAAAAGCAGTTTTCCACAATTCATGATTCGAAGGCAGCAATTTCAGATACTTGGGATAAACTTAAAATTGAATTCCTTCAGAAACTAATTGAAACAATGCCTAATCGCGTATTTAATGTAAGTAAGTTATATGGTGCTTACATTGGCCATTAAACTGTAGGAAAACTTTGCAAATTGAAACCTGTCCGGATAAATATGTAACAATTTTTTTGTACAAAATTTTCAAAAATATTATTTTCAGTCACAAAATGTTAATGTTTGATTAAAATTCTTATTTTGCAGTGTGAAAACATGTAAATCCATGTTATTTTTAATAAAACATTTGTCACTTAATGCAGAAAATTTGAGTTTCACTTTAATTTTTTCGTGTCCATATAAATTTAAAACACACCTTACTTCATACTGACACATATACATATATAATCAACGAATATTTAACGAATAAACGCACGTTTAACAGTTTTTGTATTGCTCGTTCTAATTTTAGGTTTGATTAGGAGGGAAGAGAGCACCTTCGTTTTTTACTTCCAGCCCGGAGTAAAAACTGAGTGTCTCTTGAATAGCTCAAAACTCGAATTCAACTTATATACCAAGTGAAACCACAGATCAGAGGGTGTCATCGCGTTCTTGCCATTATCTAAGCTTACAGCTAAGACTTTTTTCAAAACTTTGCTAAAAATTCGACTGGCCAGTCGACTCGCTAATGAAATTCTGAGAATCGACTTTTTCGATTATACATATTTGTGTAATAAGTCATATTAATTAAACGCCAATAAATGATTTCGCACGTAATCATTTTCGCCCTCTATCGGCGTGTTTCGTTACTACCAAATTTTTGCCAAATGCAAATTGCAATCGACCGAGTGAAACTTGTGTTATCAATTTATAAGAAAAAAATAATAATAATAATAATAATAAAACATTCAAAGCAAAATCAATCACTATATAAAAATCCAATCCCATTTCAGCAAATATCCATTATCACAATAGAACGAATTAAAGTCGGCCATTAAACAACTACTGTATTTTAGCTCTGTACCTTTTCCGTTTCGTTCTACATACAGTAATAATAAATGAAGCCGTGAACAAAATACAACCAATTTTTAAACAAAATCCATTGTAAAGTTAAAATTTTAATAAGATATTTATTAATTAAACTCAATCGTTAACCCCACCTTTATTTTCAGAAACAAATTATAATGTATTGTAATGTATTATCTAATTCACTATGTAATGTCTACTCAACAATTTTCATAAATTTTCATAAACATAAAATTTGTATTGGCTAATTTTTATAAAATTAAGTTTTGGATTTTCATACGACTCTACAGAAATGGCCGAATGTCCAAGCGATTACGGTTGTAAAAACGCTTTGTTTCGCTACTAAATGGCGAATCCGAAATGAAAATAACGAATGCGAAGTTAAAATAGTTACTGTGTTTTTTCTAGCAGATAGATCTGTAAGTTTTATTCAAAAATGTACCTGACGTCACTAATTCGTTTGGTGAATTGAACTTTCATAATAGTCTGAAACAAAGTTGTGAACTTTCGCGAATTTCTCTATAAAATACGTTAAAACCGCTTCGTAAAAAACTACATAAACAAAAACATAAGCATATTTCCGAAAAACGTAATGCCACATACAAAACAATTTTCGTACAGCCGATTCAATAAATAAAAGTGATTTATTGCAGCAAATATCATAAAATATATCGGATTAATAGTAAGATGTTATGAAAATTGTTTTACACAGTGAAAATTGTTTAATACGCTAAGTTTTCGAGCTAAAACATCAGGTTATTTATTCATTTACAACACTTATTAAACGAATTTTAAACTAATAATTATTTGATGAATGAACGAAATACAACGAAAAGTGCACAAATATCTCATAGTAAATAACATCCAATTCACTACAAAAAATAAAAAAAAACACATTATTACATTTGGCACAAGTAAAATGTGTTCTATAACAATTACGAAATCCAGCAATGGAAATATTCAAACATCCTGTAAATCGCAATAAACCAAAAGCACAACAAGACTGATTTTACGTTAAAACCATTATTCCATTTAAAAATAAGCTTTGATTCCAGAAAAATCCCTTTTTTTTTCAAATACTTAATTTCAGATGGATTGAATAGCGTCCAAACTAATTACATTCAATATATACTTTGATATTCTAATTTGACAGAAATTTCTACAAAAAATTTCTCAACGATAAATGTAAAAAATATACAAAATAATCAACACGATGTTTGTGATTCATAATTAGAAAAAAATCAAGTTATACAGAAAAGAACAATATAAACACTTTACAAACAATGAAATAATTGAGAAAAGTCTCGTCACATTAAAAGTAAATAACATTAAATAAATATAGAAAATAATAATAATAATAATAATACAGTTAATAAAAAGATTTTAAAACAATGGAAAGGCTTTAAGTACGCTTTACGAAAAACACATGTCGAATAACATCACTGTTTATGTCACTACATTTCCGATATTAGCAGTAAAAAATGCTTAAAAAATTCGTTCACGCAGCTGGCTCCACGTGCTTACAAATTTACACTTTTTACGTTCTATAGAAAATAAGAGAATTTCTAGAAAGTTCAACTGCTATATTGTATGATGATCTATGTCTTTCTTTGGATTGCTTTCGGCAGGTGATTAAATTAACACATGATCACACTGACATGTGCAATTTATCACCCGTTAAAATCATCATCGATCCATGCTTTTATCCTGCCCATGTCTTTGCACTAACGGGTGTTCTCACCTAACCGTACCGACCAACTTTCCTACTCGAAAAAACTTTCTGCAAATTACCAAATATTCAATTTAATAAGCATTTTGCAAGCGAAATACTAAGAAGCATTTAATAACATGCACGTAATTAGTTTTAATAAAAGAATAATTAACATATACATTTATAATAATGATCTCCCTCTGGAGGCGTGTAACGTAACTAATATTTTGTTAATCTGTGATGCAATTAACAGGTTGTAATTTTTATAATAAATCACGTTTCCTAAGTAACCTGTATTCTCTTTTATATTAATTTTAGAAATATTTCTTAAGTATTTCAAAAAAGTAAATTAATTTGCTTGTTTTCTTCACTTGTTTTAAACCAACCGAAGAAAACACTACTACAAAAGCAATATGGAAGCCATACAGCGTACTACGCCCTCCTTCAAAATTATCATATCAAACATGAGAGAAATTACAATAAAGATTGTTCAAGTATTCGGAATTATTGTGGAATGATATAGAGAATAATATAAATAACTACAAATATACGGTCTTCATATGTACGAATAGTAGTTTTCACATTATTTCTGAAACGTATTTTCCTACAACTGTAAATTGATAGCAGAATAATAGGTAATATCATACATGATGGGTTATGTCAAAAAACGACATTAAAATATTTTAATGTACGATAGAATAAGGTAATTTGTTTAAACTAATTAAATATTTTAATGCACAAGCAACAATTAAAAATCTAATTGGCTCTGTAAAATCTGATTTCCTGCAATTTTCGCATAAAAAAATTCTGACTTCTCAGTAATTCTTCAACGTGGTTCTAATTATTACCAATTCTAATAGTTAAATATCGCACTGCTTTTTATTCAAATTAAAATAATGAATACAAGAAACTGACTTGTCAAAGTCAGCAATTATANACTTCTCAGTAATTCTTCAACGTGGTTCTAATTATTACCAATTCTAATAGTTAAATATCGCGCTGCTTTTTATTCAAATTAAAATAATGAATACAAGAAACTGACTTGTAAAAGTCAGCAATTTTACATGTGGAGCTTTAATTATTTCAACAGGTATTATTTTCAATAGTTAAAAGACACAAAAAAATATGCCTCCTTGAATTTAGGATTACACGTCAAAAAATTTTGCATTATAGGCTTGACTAATTTAAAAATCACATTTAAAACCACTGTACAGTACACACCCCCTGATATAGAGACTGAATTTAAATCAAAAGTAAAGTTAAAGATGAAAATTTCTAGATATATGTAACCCTCCTACTTGCCAAAACCTTTCATTCTACATTATTACTAATATATGAATCACATTACAAGTAATAGTANTAATGTGTAGAATAGATAGTCTAATAATTATAAACACTTATTTCCACTTATAAATTCTCATTATGAATTATTTTAATTGAAATACTTAATGTTTTCATGTAGTGTTTTATGTCAGAGTTCAATATACATAATTACATTCACAGTTCTGTAGTTTGAAATTTTACTTATATCTAAATTGTACCATCTTACTGATATCCATTGTTAGATTAAAAATACTGCATGGAGTAGATACTCTAATAGACATGAACACTTATTACCAATAAATTCCCATTATGAATAATTCAGATTTTTAATATTTTAATTGAAATACTTAATGTTTTCATGTAGTGTTTTATTTCAGAGTTCAATATACATAATTACATTCACAGTTCTGTAGTTTGAATTTTTACTTATATCAAAATTGTACCATCTTACTGATATCAATTGTTACATTAAAAATAATGTGTAGAATAGATAGTCTAATAATTATAAACACTTATTTCCACTTATAAATTCTCATTATGAATTATTTAAATTTTTATTATTATAATATAAATATATATAAATACCTGTGGCTGTTTTCCATTCACNATCTACAGGTGTATAGGAATGCTTCTGGTAATTCAATAATCCAAAACTATAATTTAATTATGTTTGTTTTGATTTGGTTGATTACATAAATGCATTTTGGGCAAATTTACATTTTATGTCCCCCACATTAGTAACTAAAATTATTAAGAGTTAGGTGTAAGTACAAAATTAAATAAAAATACTGATAATGAAACTGAACATACCAGTAATTCTTCCTTTCTATTGAATCAACCTTCTCCTTAAAACCAAAAGCACACAAATAATGATATAGAACATAAGATGTGTTTCAAATTTATATGGACACCTAAAAATTAAAGTGAAACCCAAATTTGCTGCATTACGTGACAAATGTTTTATTAAAAATAACATGGATTTACATGTTTCCACACTGCAAAATAAGAATTTTAATCAAACATTAACATTTTGTCACTGAATATAATATTTTTGAAAATTTTGTACAAAAAACTGTTACATATTTATCCGGACAAGCACTCATTTCATGACTTAAATATAATATTCTTTAGTTTCAAGCATTGAAATATGCAAATCAGCTTACATATGTAATTGTAATGCAAATTCTTTATGTTGTTCAACGTTCTAAAATGGGTAAAACAAAAAATTTATCTTATTATGAAAAAGAGCAGATTGATGCCTATAAATCACAAGGCAAGTCAATAAGAGAAATTGCAGCATATATAAATCATCCAAAATCAACTGTTGGTGATTATTTATCAAAAAGACGTGGCTAGAATGTATCAAAATTCAAGACAGGTCCAAAACCCGAGCTTATACCTTGAGATTGAAGACAAATCATCAAGGTTTGCTCCACTAAACAAACATCAGAAAAATAAAACAAGAATTACACTTACCTTGTAGTAGCACAACAGTGTAAAGAGTTTTAAATAAATCTCCAACATTAAAATTCAGAAAAAAAGCTATAATGCCACCACTTTCATTAAAGCACTAAAGTGACAGACTTGATTGGGCACAAAAACACATGAAATAGTCCAAAGAATGAATTGAAGTTTTGTTCAGTGATGAAAAACAATTCATCTTAGATAGTCCAGATGGTTGAAAGTATTATTGGCACGATTTAAGAACAGGGGGTTACCTGTACTTGCTTATAAGCAAACCAAAATGTCATTCCTCGGATAACTTGTAATTTATGACTTATTTTTTTTATGCACGAAACCTGTGGACTGTCACTTATTAAAAACTGTAAACTAAGCCTTTATAGGCACAGACAATTTGGAATATTTTCAGACTCAAAATTTGACATTCAACAATTTTTCTTCTTTATATAATGAGCCAAGAATTTTTGTAGTGAAAGTTGTTTTTGTTATTTAAGTGTCATGTTAACTAGAAATGTCATACGCTACACAGACTAATTCCACACTCTGAAGTAAGCAATACACAAAATGTCAGCCAAGTCTGACTCACAATGTAGTCAAACTTCCCACTTTGTTTGCTTATCAGCATTTATTTGAAAGAAATAAAGTTTATGAAATTAAAAAACTACAGAAAAATCTTTAAAGAAAATGTCATTTTATTAATGCATTCAATAGAAAAGAGACTGATGAAATGTTTATAATTTTTCAAAACATAATAAATGAAATGGTATATTTTCAAATTAGCTGTAGTTACAAAACTTAGTTACTAGCTGTAGTTATTTTTTTTTTTATGTATAAGACTGCTGCCATGACATTGCATTGTTAATTTTTGTTTAAACTAAGTTCCACTACGACAGTCAACTTTCCAAAGCACGAACATTTTGTGCAGAGGAAATATAGCTGCACCGACCAAAATTCCCTAGTATACAGAACAATAGTTAAGTAGGTCAGCGGGACCTATAAGTCTTGCCAATTTCTTATCATAACTACAGCGGAGGAAAAAAGATTTAATCAATAAAATTAGAATGAATAAAAATTTTGGCTAGTTTAACTGTCCACGTTTCTTGGAATCTAAAATTGACAATCTAAATTATATTCACGTTCAAAGTTTTTCACGGTAAGAATATAATGTTTGGCATTTATAATACTTCCGCTGGCAACCAGAAGACTGGTTTTGAAATTACGTTTTATTTGAGAAATTCTTTGGTAGTTACAAAAATGTTACAAGTTGGGATGAATTAAAAATTAGATAAAACAGAATAAAGTCAAAAATAATTAACACTTACTGTCTGTGGATAAGAGAGGGGTCTTAATCTATCGTAATCTTCCTGTCCGGCCGTATCCCACAGTCCTAGATTTATGGGTTTACCGTCGACCATTACATTGGCAGAATAGTTGTCGAATCTGAAAATTTAATTGAATATCAAAAAAATGTATACTTATATTGATATATAATAAAACAAGCAATATATCATTTAATTAACAAAAAAAATTCTACAGGGTGTAACTAGAATTAATATTGAATAGTAACTATGATAAAAACTTTATTTGAAACATGTTATAATAAATTATATTTTTTTAAAGTGGCCAAAAGCAATCAATCATTCCAAAAACCATTTTTGATATCAAAAAATTAAAATAAATTTGGTACAATTACTATTTTATTTTGTAGTGCAGGTACAACCATTAATAAAGATTGCTTCTTATGTTTAATCTTTCTTTGTTCAAAACTGCCCAAAGAGTAAAATGCATTTCTGCCAATGAAAGAAATTATTAAAATTAATCTTTAAAAATAAAATTTGTAAAATTTTTTCATACAAGTAAGTCCTTTTTGTTAGTATATGAGGTGCAATAAAAAGAAACTAGATTTGCTCTATAAAGATTTCAATATATTATGGCAGCATATTTAAATTGTTCTCTCAAAATTAGTTTCTCCCTGCACTTATGTTCACCACTTCTGCCAAACCTTAAACACTCCTTGGAAATAATTTCAAAAAATCCAAAGCATCTGTAGCGACTTGGACCACATTGCCTCGACCCTATTGAATACCTTGTAGTCTCAAGCTTCAGTTTCGTTTTAGGGAACAAAACAGTCACAAGGGACTAAGTCTGGCAAGAAGGAGGGAGAAGACTGCCTTGTTTTTCATCAAAAATGCTTGCATTTTGAAGGCTGCATGTGCAAAAGCATTGTTATGATGACAATAGCAAAATCAGCTGTGTTTACAGTTCTAATCTCTTATGATGAACATTCTAATGCAGTTGCCTCAAAATGACATAATAAAAGCCCAAATTCCCAAATTTGCTGTCTGACTGGGCAGAACAAACTTCTGGTGTACAATCTCCTTATGATTGAAAACATTATCAATACGCTCTTTACTTGCCTTCTTGGATCTCTGAACCAAATTTGGTGAAAAGCAGCTAAACCTGGCATCATATGCACTCCTCAATATGCAAACTAGCATGTTTTCGCATAGGACTGCAATCACCTAGGGGTTAATTTAAAGTGTAAGAATACCCACCCCTTTATTTTCTGAGTACGGTAGAATGGTCTGCTAAAACCAGATGTTTGAATTGCTCTACAATCAGAGGTCAAACACGTCTTTGCTTACTAGGAGAAAAAAGTCTATTCTACTCAAAATGGTATCACTATTGGAAATAAGGCTATTTCTCAGAGGTTGTAAAGATAATTTACAGTTTGGTTTAATGAATTCTGGTTAAATTTTTGTTCACTTTATTGTGTGAAAATTAACATTGTGACAATGACATTTTGTCAGGTCAGCAGCAAAATTTGATTTAATCAGAGAATTCTCTATCGGTGGTTTAAAGGCAAGCTGACTGTAGTTTAAATGCTTGGTTAATAGGTTTACTGTGCATAAACAAACAATATCGCTAAAACCGATATACTATAAAGCTAGACACCAACCAATGCCGAATTCTATCAGGCTAGACACGGCTATATACCATGTCTAGCCAGATAGAATTTGGCATTGGTTTGTGTCTAGATTTGCTTTTGTTTTAACAAAAAACCACAGTAATTAGTTTTTGGACACATTTTTATTTGGAAAAATTAATGGCAAGAATCTCCAAGATTTTGGACTAGTATTTCAAATGTTTTAATAAACCAAGTCTAAAGAACAACAAATCTTACATTCCTGATATCATATTATCAGAACAAAAAAATTAGTTTTAAAATGTTTAGATCATCATTGTATAGATAAATATCACAAAGCTAATAATTTCATTAATATCAATCAGGAAATTTGACTGTTTTCCTCTATCGACAAGGAACTTTTGGTCTATTTTATTAAAACAAAATTATGAGTTAAGAGTAAAAGTTTTTCAACAACTTATTTTTTTTAGTTTTTTGACAAGACTATGTCTTGTTTATAAAATCGTACTGCCTGCTATGTACCAGCTTAGAGGTATGAAGGAGTACATGTCAGGAGTTGCAATTCGGCAGAGTATTAGGTGCCCAAATCATGTGCACGTAAAACAAACCAGACTTTTAGGTACTGAGGGGACCGAGAACCAAGTCAAAATAAAATACAAAATGGCAACTCTCTCTACAAACAGGCAAACCAAAGTCAGGTGGTGAGAGTACCACCCACAGTCTCTAGGAAGTGGACTCTGACCCTAGGACTGAACACGTAGTATTTTCTTTGTTAAATAAAATTTGTAATCTAATTTTGTAAATTTGGAAGTGCTTCAAATATGACATTAAAACAGGGTTTTATGTCGTTACAAGGCGGTTTTTTTTTAACATTATCTAGTATAGTAAAATTGTGGGACCAATAAAAATTTGACGTTATATTAGGGTTGTCGTTACATCCGATGACGTTATAATTGGGTTGAACTGCATAATGTCTGTGCAAAATAAAAAAAATAATTTCGGACGATACAATAGCCATGATTATTTTTTTCAAAAATGGGAAATTTTCGTTATGCATCGACAAAAATTCAACCTGGGCTGACACGCAATGGAGAGACATTTTAAAATTGGATAGGTTAATTTCATCAAAAATGCATCATGGATGTGGACGTGGACGTGGTTGTGGTCGTGGCTGGCAAAGTTTGAATGATTGTGCCCAAAAGCAGCAATACCAAAGAAGGTTG